TTCTCTGAATTTAATCTTCCTTTTGTTGTTTTTTTTTTATTTAAATCCTCCATCCGTTAATACCGCATTCCCCAAACATAAACCACATTTCAGCCATCGTGATGTATCTGATATACGCATGGTCTACTTTGCTTTCACGAGGGGTGTGTCTCATCTGGGGCTGGGACGAAGGCAGGCTTTGGTGCAAAGCCAGCTTTCCCACTTGTCCCACTGAATCCCCCTGAAGTGAGCACAAAGGTGCCCTGGGCTCTCCGATGGTCTGTTCCCACTCTTTTCAGGCCAATGATGCTCTTCGGGGGCAGAATGAATTGCGTTCATGGGCATGTCACACACAAGCACCTAATGCAATGTCTCCTTTTATCCTCCGAGTGGGAAGGGGGGCATTTGGGGAAATCCCAATCCAAAACCCACTAATGTGCTGAATGCTTTTTTTTAGCCACAAAACCTTGGACCCCAGTGTTGGGGTTTGGTTGACCTCAAGCTGAGGCTGTTTGATCTTGTGCGACTTTGAGAATCCGTGTGAATGTCTAGGCAGGGACAGCAAGGGCTGTTGTCATCTCGCCAAATCTTGCTGCACTGCCCTTGCAGACTCATCCTTCTCCACCTGCCCTGGAGAGAGGGGTAGAGACCTGTGCCCGCCCTGTGCAAACGAGTTTCACCCATTTTATTTAACTGTCTCGACTGCCGCCATGAAACGAGCAAGCAGCCATGGAGTCACAAGCCTTCCTTGGCATTAGAAAATGTTGACTTTGTAACTGTAGAACTTTCGTCCTAGAAAGTCATGGTTGTCCTGGGAGTTTGTAGCGATGGGTTACAAAAACATGCAACAAAACCAGCTTAGGATGACGCTTTTTTTTGTGTTTGTGTTTGAAGATGTCTCTCTCACTATTATTATTAAAATCCTTTTCATGAATGTGGTGAAAGCCACGCAGCAATTTCTTCCTCCAGGAAGAGAATACCAAGTGCATCCCTTCCTCCCCTATCAGTGATGACAAAAGATGTCCGGAATTGTTCGTGTCCTGGGAGCTGTCCTAGGTGCTGTTCTGAAATTTGAGGCTAGTCGGGGGAAGCACTGCTGGTTCTCCGGATATAGGCCAAGAAAAAAATTGAGAGAAAATGCAGGATCGATGCAAGGGTCTGCACGTCCATTCCTGTGACCGCTGGGGGCTTTGTGGCCAACTGGTGGACAGATCTTCCACTGTGTCCCACCAGGGCAGACAGTTGACCGTGCACCATGCTTATGGGATGGGAAGTGTTTCCTTGTAGCCTGCTACGACACTAGTCAGCGGGCAGGAATGCAATCAGGGCATGACCTGTGCTGACCGTCTTGGTAAACCAGTGTAGGTCCCATCATCCCGACAACCATCTCTTTTCTACTTCATGGCGGGTGGAAGTTTGGGGTTCAATGTCCTTTGGATGCCACCTGGTGAGTCCTTGACATCTTGGGCTTTTCGGAAATTGTGGTTTTGTTGGGGATGGGGAATAGGGAATGCTGATTTGATATAAATGGTACATGAAGAGTGATGTCACTTCAGAAAAATCTTCCAGAATCGTTCTTCAGAATATCGATTGACACCGGAAGTGGGGTTGGGAAGGAAAAGAACAGATCGGCACTGATTTTCTTAGAGCACACAAAAGCATATGGTGGACTGTCAGGGGCTGACACTGAAGGTGAATGTGTCCTTAGCGGGTCCCCAAGAAACAGAGGGCAACGGTGGCTTTTTGAGCTGTCACCTTCTGATAGCAGTCAAGGTCCATAATCAACCTCCAGCCAAATTTTTATCTGGGTGTGGGCCATGAAACCCCTTGTTAAAAACCAGATCTGAGGCTCTTGGTCCCATTTGTGAAGGAAGGAATAGCCCCCCCAAAATGAGTGTGCGTCTGTGCACATATTCAGGAATGGCTTCTTTAGGGTTTATACTTTGCGTCAAAGTTGTTGCTCCTTGCCCCTTTGTGTGCCTGGGTGGCCTCGGCCCTGCGCGGTAGCAGCGCAGGAGCAAACGTGCCGCAGCTTTTGCAGAAAACAGCTCAGAAACACAAAAACCCACCAAAAGTTCGATTATTATTTTTTTCAATGTTTTCCTACAAGAGCCAAGTAGCACCATGTACAGAATATGCCTTTTTTTTTGAAATATTGAAATCGTTCTGCATGTAAAATATGGGATAATTACCTGTTTATATTAAAATTCTGATTAAATTAAATTATCTAAGAATACTCTTGTTTTTTTGTGTAGTGTCCAGGCGAGGACCCTCGGCACGTGTGTGGGGGTGTGGCTATGGGTTGCGCTATGTTAAGGGACACCTCTTGGAAATTGTGGGTACCTGTTTTGAGAAGAGACAAACCCCTTGATTCTTCAGCACATGAAACTGGAAGTTCAATAATTGCTACCAGCAGAGCTGAGGACACACAGGTATATATTTATACAGCCAAACTGGTGATTTAAATGTTGCACTATTTCCATGCCAGTTGGAAAGCCACTGCTTTCCCCACAGGCCCCCAGACACCCCCATGATCCAACCACTAATGGGTTCACTCCAGGAATCCCAGTGGACCCCTAAAACCTTGCTTTGTTCCAACATGCTGGGAACTTACATGTTAAATATTTCCAATGTCAGCCTGGAAATGAAGACCTGTCCCACGCTGGGTGGGCAGGTGAGTGGCCATGGGGCAGACCATGAATTGAAAGGGTTTTGAACAACCTTCCTTGGGCTGAATACAGAATGTAGTGTGGAAGGAGACAGACTCCCAACCTTTGGTTCCTTGTGTGGCTTTGAGTTAGTCACGTACCTTCACGTGTTAGTTTTGGCTGCGTAACAAACAGCCCCAGAACTTAGTGGCTTACAACAGCAACCATTGATTTCTTATGGTTCTAGGAGTTGGCTGGGTGGTTCTTCTGGTCACAGCCTCACTACTGTGTCTGAGGCCTCTGCTGGGACACCCGCACTTGGTCGTCTTTTAGGAAGCTACCTCAGGCTTGTTCACATGGTGGTGGTCACGGTGTGCCCAGTGGGAAGAGACAGCAAGCCCAAATATGCACAGACGCTTTCCAAACTTCTGCTTTCTGTGGTGTTTCCTGTTGTCCTGTTGCCCGAAGTAAGTCACATGGCCAAATCTAGAGTCAGCTTGAGAGAGGATCCCCTGAAGCTGCAGATACGGGGAGATGTGAACCAAGTGGGGGCCTGTCCTGCAATAATCTTCTACACTTCTCACTTTATCCTTCTATTATTGAAGATGATAGACCTTCCTTCATATGACCACAGTGAAGATTACGTGAGGTAACACTGATTCTCCACCCTCCCTCCAAAATGTCCTTCCCACACCCCCAAACCCCTTCAAGTTCCCCATTCTCTGAGAAATTGGATGCCACTGCTGCTTGGCAGTGGTGGCAGCCTAAACCGTGCCTTCCTGGGTTTGCAAAATTCAATATAAGCCTCTTGGAGAATGGGAAATGCTCCACCCCCAAGGGAAGATTTCTCGAAAGGGATGTTTCAGACTGCCATTTAACAGAGGGGCCCTGGCCTAGAGTCGGGGGTGTCTGCCACCGGGTTCCCGGAACTTCCTCCTGGGCCTTGGGTCTCAGAATGTCGGCTTGTCAGAATCCCACCTCTTAATGCCATGGGTGTGTCTGTCTAGGCCACACTCTGTCCCTTTCGGAGAGCACTTATATGACAGCACCTGGGAACCTGCATTTAAATGACCTCCCCTTCACTCCATACCTGTGCATTCAGTTGACCTGGGATAAGACCACAGGAGCTTAAGGGCACCTCCATTCTGCCTTTGCCTGTGCTGGGGATCAAAATACAGCACCCCAAAATATGCCACTTGGGCACATTGATTATTTTGAGTTAAAGAATGAATGCTGTTAATAAGCGGTAGGCCAGGGCTGGGTGCGGTGGCTCACGCCTGTAATCCCAGCACTCCAAGAGGCCGAGGCAGGAGGATCACTTGAGGTCAGGAGTTGGAGACCACCCTGAGCAAGAGTAAGACCCTGTCTCTACAAAAAATGGAAAAATTAGCCAGGTGTGGTGGCGCATGCCTGTAGTCCCAGCTGCTGGGGAGGCTGAGGCAGGAGGATGGCTTGAGCCCAGGACTTTGAGGTTGCTGTGAGCTACGATGATGCCACTGCACTCTACCCAGGGCGACAGAGCGAGACTCTGTCTTTAAAAAAAAAAAGCTTCCAAGTAGATTGTTCCCACGTGGACCCCCCTAGATGAAAACACAGCCTGGGTGACACCTTAATTGCAGCCTTGTGGTACCCTGACACCAAGCTAAGTTGTTCCCACAGGCATCCAGTCCACAGAAATTGCAAGGTAATAAGTATGTGCATTGTTTTAAGTCTTTAACTGTGTGACACAGCAATAGGAAACTAATAAAATAGAATAGTGACCTGATTCGAGGTGTTGTGCAGATTGGGTTATTTCATGTAGGGCACATAGAACATAATTCCTAAGTGTTAACAAATCATACATCACTGGCATCAGCATCCTCCCTAACCTCCTGGTAGAGGCGTCCCCATCTCCACTCCTCCTGCCCCTGGAGAAGGACCCAAAGGTGCAAGGTACCTCAGCTGCAAATTCCAGATATCTAAGCCTGGAGCCATCCGTATAAATCCCTTAAAGATCCAAATTCCTGGACAGACTCGGGCGGTTCCAACATCAACGTTTCAGCGCCACCTTGTGGCTTTAGTCTGTTTTGGCAAGTTATATTTTTCTAGGAATTTGTCCTTTTTGTCTACGTTTTCCAAATCTGGGGCCTGAGGTCCAAAATAATCTCTTGTCATCTGTTTAATATTTGAAGTTATGTCTAAATTTCCATTTATAATGTTTTTGGTCATTTTTTCCTTCTTCCCTAATCAGTCATGTTAGAAGTTTGTTGATGTCATTGTTTTTTTTTTCAGATTGACTTTCATCTTTGCCAATCTATTGTATCTCTGTTTTAAATTTTGTTGTTTTATGCTCTTTATTTTTTCCTTCTGTCTACTTGAGTCTGGTTTCTTGTGCTGTTCTGTTTATAATTTCCTTAAATTGGATACTGACCTTGTTTGTGTTCTGCCTTTTTTTTCCTTTCAATGGTGGGCATCTAAGGTTACACATTTCTGACCATACAAAATAAGTTAAGTAAGGCTGCTCTAGGTGGCTCATGCCTGTAATCCCAGCACTTTGGGAGGCGAAGGAGGGAGGATTGCTTGAGGCCAGGAGTTTGAGACCAGGCTTAGCAACAGTGAGACCCCATCTCTACAAAAAATAGAAATATTGGCCAGATGTGGTGTTGCAAGCCTGTACACCCAACTTCGGAGGCTGAGGAAGGAGGATTGCTTGAGCCCGGGAGTTTGAGGCTGCAGTGAGCTATGATCACACCACTGCACTCTAGCTGGGGTGATAGAGCAAGATTGTGTCTAAATAAATAAAGTAGTGTCTTTAAAAAAACAAAAACCAGAAAGTACTGCCTCATTGGTTGTTACCCTCAGTTCAAATGGAAAAGAAGTCACTTTGCTTTGTGGACTTAGGGTGGTGAAACACTGCCATTTTCAGGGTGTATTTTGTAATTATTAATAACAAGAAGGGTACTCTAGGTGTTTTGTTGTTAGCCTTTGGGAAAATGGATCAAAGTAGCTGAAAATCTTAGTAGGTTATTAAGTATGAAAATGTCCGATATCCTTAACACATTAACTGTTATGCGAGTTATATTTAACTCATGCTAGTTTTGAACCTGGGACCTCATGATGCATATGTAACTCACACGTCTCTTCACCTTGGGAGCTGCGAGAACTATTTTTCAAGTTGCATATAACTCATGCACAGAAAATAATAACCATTTTTTCACTAAATAAGAAAGGATCATTTTGTTTTTGAAGTTTTTTTTATTTTCATAATAAAATACCGTGACCCCAAGGAAAAAATTTTTTTTTCTAGTGTGGCAGTCAATGTGTTAAGTACCAAGTTTGACAGTTGATATCTATGACATTTCACTTTGACAATTCTTGTTTTATTTTTATTGTGAAGGTACATCCTCATTCTTTCAAATACGTGGTTTGGCTTGTGATTATCTTTCAATTTTTTTTAGAGCAATTTTTTGTGAAACCAGGGATAAGTCAAAAATCTGTGTTATTTTCAAACATGAGTGTTGTCATGGAACCAATGCAGCGCAGACAGCTCGAAATATCAACAAAGTGTTTGGGAAGGATGTGGCTAATGAACACACAATACTTCAATGGTTTGGGAAGTTCTGTCCTGGTGATTTTAATCTTGAAAATGAGCCACGTGGTGACCTGAGACCAAGGGGCATAATGAAGAGCTGAAAGCTGTAGTGGACGTGAATCCATCTCAAACTATGAGTGAATTAGCAGTAATATGTGACGTTACTATTTCAAGAATATTATATTCACAAGTTGCTTTGCAGTGTGAGTTCTTCCACTACTGAGAAATGTGGAAGAAAATGGGAGCCTTTCCAATATTGATGGCATTCAATTCTTTCTCTCTAGTATGAACTCATACCTTAAAAAATGGAAAGAACATTCAAGAATTTTATACCTCACCAAACACTATGGTCTTGTGCTCAGTAATGCAAATGCTTGTGTTGTAGGATTCTCAACATTTATTACACACAGAGTGTTTCTCTATAGTGTGATTTCCCAAAGGTGTCTAAAAGGATGAGTGTCCCCTGAAGAGTTTTTCATTTTGATGACACCTATAGGGTTTTTCCTAAATGTCACTTGTCACTTTACTTCCTGGAGCTATCATTGAAGGTTTTCCTTTTGGCTACTGCATTCCTTGGGCTTCTCTCCAATAGGTTTTTGTTTTCACACAGCAAGGCAAGAATTTGAACTGAAGGTTTTAACATATCGATTGCACTTATAGGTTTCTCTCTAGAGTGAGTTAACCTGTGGTTTACTGAATGCTACTTCACACTGATTAGAAGGGTGAGGATCTGCTAAAGGATTTTCTTCACCAGCTTCATGGCAATCTTACCAGATGGTTCCCAGCAATCTGTCTCCTGGCCTTCATACCTTGTGTAATCTTCTCACACATTGTATCAGGATCGGTGTGTGTGTGTGTGTAACAAATACAACATGGAAGAAGTAAAAAGATGTCTTTCTGACGCTGGGCCATAAATGATTTTGTGCCTTCTCTGTTGGCTCTTTTGGATCATTTTCTTTGAGGGGAATCTTCTGTGACATCGTAAAGAAACTCAGCCCTGTGGATACGTCTACAGGGTGAGGAACTGCAGGTCCCCTGACAACAGCCAACATTGACTTTCCAGGCATGTGAATAAGCCCTCTTGCAAGGGGACCCTTCATCATTAAAGACTTCAGAGGACCACAGCTCTGGCTGACATCTCGACTGTAACCTCATGAGCGATCTTGAGGCATAATAACTACAGAGCTGAGCTGTTCCCAGATTCCCAACCTACAGAAATTGTGAGATAATAAATGTTCATTGTTTGAAACCACAAAGTTTTAGGGAGTGATTTTTGACACATGAACAGATAACCCATACATATGGTGTGAATTGTCTCATGTTTGAGGAATGAGAGAATACCTCTCCCAAAGTTATTGCATTTGCATCAACCTATCACGCACAGAAAGGTAAGAGTTACCAGTGAAAGATTTTCCACAACGATTACCTTCATAGGGTTTTCCTCCACTGTGAGTTCTCACGTGTTTCTTAACACAGGAGAGATGATTAAAGGCTTTCCCACAGTCGCTGCATTCATAGGGGTTCTCTCCATTATGAATTCCCTTGTGTACTATATTAGAAAAGCTACTGGTAAAGGATTTTCCACACTCCTTGCATGCGTAGGGTTTTTCTCCAGTATGAGTTCTCACATGCTGTGACTTCCTAAAGGTTTTCCCACAATCCTGACATTCATAGGTTTCCCCCCCGATGAATGCTATTGTGTACAGCAAGGGCGGAGCTTGTGCTGAAAACCTTTCCACACCGATTGCATCCATAATGATTCTCCCAGTACGCACTATTTTGTGCCTTTTGAGGATACATTGAGTGTGGAAGACATGAAAACACTGGTTACGTTCGTACCGTTTTCCTCCAGTGTGAATTCTCAAGTGCTCAAGATGAGTAGGTGTGACTTTAGGAGCAGAGAAATAATGATGCCTAAATTCTAATAAATATGGTAACTCTCTTTGACAAGGGAAAAAAAATGCAAGCCTCTTCAGTCGATATCCAGGGTGATTGGGGATATCTGGCCTCAGGAGCCCAAGTTCAAACACAGACTTCAAAAGCTCCAAAGCCGTTAGCCTTAGAGAACATAAAGTCAGAACAAGAAGCAGGTCTTTAGTTCACAAGGAGGGCATGAGACAGACAGCTCCATGAGGGTGGGAATGTGTCTGTCTCATTCATCTCTGCACTCCCAAACCCCAGCACAGACCTCGGAACACAGAGGTGCTTAAGAAAGACTTCTGAGAAGTGACATCAGGGAACATGGCAGTGTAGGGAACTCCAGAACGCCATCCTCTTCACAGAAACAGGGAATAAATGGGCAAAATTGTCCTCCTCTTGCACATGGGCAGTGCCCAGCTACTTGGCCGTCACCACCTGTTCACATGGGGACAGGGACATGTTGCGGTGGGATGGAAGAGACAAGAGAGTCATGCTTCCTGGGGTGAGTTGGGGTTTTGGAGGCTGCCTGGTGTAGGATGCATCAAAGTCAGGCTGCTCCACCAGCAGCTGGGGAATACGTGTGCCTCCAGATGAACAAGCAGATTCCGCAGAAGAA